GGAAAAACGAAACATCATCTTACTTGAAAGCAATTTCATTGCGTTATTTGCGGCACAGAAGTATCCTTCGGAAATCCATGAACGACGAACGAATTACGGAATGTTAAGCATACGATGTAAAAGTTTAAAACAAAGCCTTGGCTCTGGGGTTGGTATGTTCGTGCTGCGCCAGTCCCCTCGGTGTTCGAAGGGCAGCGCACGAAAAAAGAAACCCTGCTTCTTTTGTTTGTCACACCGAAAAAATAAGCATCATTTATAATCCCGGTGCCAATTTGTCAGTCGAGGAATCCCTGCTGTGACCTGTACACAGTTGCAACAAGCAGCAGTGCTGAGAATTGGCCCGGGTGCGATCGGTAGTTGAACGCGTGACTGAGCACGGACTGAAGACGCTTCTCGCAGAATTAGCCTCGAAGCGGGGTCCTATGCATTGAGGAGCGAAGGGGATTATGGGCACTGGGTTGCAGGCAGGCGGGCAGCCAACCCTGCGTGGATTGCTAATGAAATGATAGGCTATCACGCCTCCGGCTGCAGCCCGGTCGTACAATGAATTTCGAAGGATATTCCGCGCTGACTGTTTCCTCAACAGCCGAAGAAGGGACGGCCCAGGGGTCCAAGCCGCATCAAGGACGGTTTGCAGTAAGGTTCGAGATCCCTGAACGTTTACAGGACAAGAGAGTTTAATAGCACAAGTGCACCGATCGCTGGATGGGGTCCGATCTCCCACTCAGGGCAAGATATAAAGCCGGGCGGAGAAGAAAGGATGGCGGCTCACGCGCCGCTGTTTCTTTTCATTCTGCCGAACCAGCGAACTTTTCCCTCGTCTCTGATTATTGCCTTCATGTGCACAATGAGCAACGAGGATACCCAGCAAAGGGAAGATTTCCATCACCAAGAGCTTTCTGTCAAGATCAAAGGCAATTAGGATTCCTCGTGTTCTCTCGAAAATAGGCGGGACAAAAGTCCCCTCGAGTCGCCGGGTTCACTATAATGGGGCTCGAGTAGGTACATGACCGAAGTCTTGCGTCCGCTGATTCGATCATCACCCGTTACTTCCCCGAAATCAGCACAAGCGGATTCGCGGAGACAGCTTAATTTGATCGATTCTGGACAGTATTGACAGAAACGTGTCGCTAGATAAGGGGACGAATTGCATCCAAACTGTGTTCCAGAGAAAACCCGTGTCCCTGATGAGCAATCAAGCATCAATAGCAACCGGTGATATCCTTCCAATTAAAAGTTTCTTTTTGGTCCGCGGGCAGAACACCCGCGGGGAATCCCCGTATCGAAGACCGTGGCGATGAGACAATCGACCGCATTAACCGCCCCGTTCTTCTTCCCGGGGGTTCGAGGCAAATAAAAGTTTCCCCCGGAAATGAAAACAGAAAGTGACGGGAAATCAATGGCCCGGGGAAGTTGGGAGCTCCCTGTGCTGACGAGGCACACAGCCGATTAAACGTATTAATTGCTGCAGTCGACGGACGCGTGCATCAGCCCGGGATTAATTGGACTCGCGACGGTGTTGGTCAATGCCCCACCAACTTTCTTTAAGCAGGGAAATCCGCGTCTGATTCTCCGCGGAACAGGGCCTGCAACTCCTACAAAAGTCCCTCGCGTTCCTCAAAGGGGTTCCCGAGTCAAGTGAGTTGCGATCAAGAATGGAGAAAACGGGGGAGAAAGAGTGGCTGCCGAGTCTATACAGCTCATCGGATGGGCACACATGCCTTTCCTGAAAAGCGGATTTTGCTTCTTGACTATTTTGCGGCATTGTTCGCCCAATAAGTGACAGGCCTGCGAGGAGAATGGCATACTCGGGAAGTGTCCTTTCAATCTTTCCCTCCGAATAGCGCATGATTGCGACTCCCTTTTGTTCGGTAAATCATTTTAACATCGCATTAACTCTTCATAATGCCCGGCACTATTTCCTGGGAACACATAAAAATCTCCTTTATAATGTTGACTCCTCTTCATTCTCCTCTCGACACGCCGTTTTTTATTTTTTTTTATAAAACGAAGCGCATCGTTCTTCAACACTCAACGTCAGATTCCGCGTAAGCACCTTTAGCGTAGGCGCACATCAAAAGTAGACAAAATTACCGGATTTTCACACTTATACGCAGCGTGAAGATTTGTATGGTCCACATCTTGATTTTCGACAAATATTTCAGAAAGAAAAGATAGATAGCGAAGCGAGGAAATTCGGATGAAAAAAATCCGACCCACGGATCAAGAAAAAATACGAGTTGCGTTTGATCATGAATATCCCGCACAGGTTCTCACACCCGGAAATATCGTATTATCTCACTTTGGAGCAACAGCTAGCAGATTAAAATTTGAACGTTTTTCCTTTTGCTATTTTAAACCTCAAATCGTCTAGTTTCAACTCTAAAATCCGAGTCAGCACAAATCTGCGACATTATCCCTCATGCTCGAAGTCAATGCGTCTTATATTCGAATACCTAGACTTCTCGAGTGTCGGCCGCACCAGCACAGTTTTTTTCGGGAAAGAAGCGCTGCATATAATTTAATCGAGTGAATGCCGTATTTGCGAGATCCTGATTATTACCGAAGGAATTCCAAGTGCCGGACTGAAGAACAAGTTTTCCGTTGACAAACTTGGTCAGCAGGAGATACGTTGAGAAACGAAGCGTCCTTGCGGTGGACGGCCATTCGGATTAGACGGAATGCAATCCGTCGGTGAATAGGGGCACATTTTTATTCGGAGGCATTGTGATTTAAAGTAGAAGATGCAGAACGGAAGGCAGCTCGGCGAGATGCACTCGTCGAGGAATTCTCAGGGTTAAGCGTTGGCGACGAGTTAAAGGGGGGAAATCAAGCCCTGCCGGCACAACCTGATGCGCGTACTTTGCCGGTGGGAAGCTGATATGGTAATGGGTCTAATGTGGATTTTCCTACTGGGAGCTAAAGCGCTTTACGCTCGTTCAGCGCTGGTTGTGCGAGAGTGACAGTTGCAGCTTGATGGGCTTACAAGAGAGAAGAACTGTTTGACGGCGCATTACGGCATTAAGAACGGTTTCAGACCGACCTGGATTCGATGGGCAAGGCAGGATTAAATGAGATACGGTATCGGATGATGAACTGGAATCGGATGGATATAGACTTGCTCGGCGCTACACCCAATTTCCCGCGTTTTTTCCCATCGGTCCCAGTGCTCGATTCCCTTCCCTTCCCGGTCCCCCGACACGAATTTCTCGCATGCGTTTAAGCTTGACAAGGCTGGGTTTGTCAAGGTACTACTTGGATTCCTCAAAGCGGATTAAACTAGTCTGACGTAAACCTGGTTTGCTCAACGTCTCCCCGTGGGAGGCTTTTCTGTCATATGCTCTCGAAGAGCTTTCACGCGCTTTTTCTCAGCCGAGATGTATTCACGCAAGCTCTGCTGGAGATCAAGAAGTTTCCTCTGACTGCCACTGCATCTCTTCAATGGCAAAACCTTGACTTCCACTGGGGAAACACACAGTTTGTGTACAGTACAGTATTGCGAACCGACTTTTAGGTCACAACTTCCTACTGCATTCACTCGTACAATCGAGAAAAAAAAAATTCTACGAAACTTACCTTCGAGATATCCTTAAGATGTCGAGATTTGATTTTTTGGTGGTTAGAAAATTGCGAGGCTTGCGTTTTTGAAATGTGTCTATTTATGTCAAATATTGAAGGCCAAGTCTACGAGAACGAGTACTGTACGAGACCTTTCCGGGTTCATTTAAGAAAAAAACCTGTACTGTACTTTGAAGAAGTTTAAATGGACAGCACGCGTGTCGCTGAATGAGGGGGCAATGTGAAGTTCTAGCTTTTTGAAGAAGTTAAAACTGTATAGCTTATTTACTTTTTCGGTCTCAAAACTCATGGACCATCCCTATTGCATGTTGCTGAATTAAAGCGACTCATCAAATTCCACGCCCAAGAATTGATCGCGGTTTCTATTATTTTGAGGGTGGGTGGGTAACAGTTATGTTCGATGCATTCCACACTTACAATAATTCCTAAATATTTGTGTCCAATAAGAATCGGCCCCTTTGTGAAGTACAGTGAACGTGTATCCCCAAGGGCTTGTCAGCATCGTTGCGTAAGTTGAATTACTACTGGAATTCCTTGCAATAGCGGCGGATGTAAATGAGCTTTAATCCCGGAGGAATCCACCGCTTACGCGAAAGTATGTTTGGACTGGCGGGATTTTTTCGAAAAAGTTTCAGCTCGCGGTTCCCCCGATGCGAAGCAACGGGTGAGCACTCCTCCGAAGCGTGTTTGAATACCGACGACGGACCGGGGACTGGGAAAAATTTTGGGGGCTTTAATGTTTCGCTTGAAAGCATTGTTGCTTGCCGCCATGTTATTATATCATTCGCTGAATATAGATCGGTCGGGATATTGTGGCCGCCCTGTCGGAGATTTGTTTGGCGATTTTGCAGTCTGTTCGGCAAGAGGCGAGCATTGAGTCCTGCGCCACAATGGGGCGTCTAGTTTTTATCGATGGTTACAGCCCCCATTCAGAAACCAGGGCAGAGGCGGCTGAAGGAAAAAAAAAACTGCGTACGAAAAAAAAAAATCCGATGTTGCGCAAAAACGATGGTGGGTGGCAAATGGGTGACATGAACAAAAGACCTGAGCGGAAACTTATCACGCTGAACGAGCATGTTGCTTCGACGTGCTCGTCAATTGGTTACTTCACTCACTGCAATTTTCCGGAGGAGAAGAGCGTGTTTTTGTGCTTGACTTTCAATTCCTCCCCCCCCCCTCTTCAAGAGATACTCATTGGCTGGAGCTACTCCCATTTCTTTGCAATGCCGCCGACAAGGATTAGCGCCTCCCGAACACATAACGCGTCCCGTATGAGAAAATATTACTGCGACCATCGGCTAGCATCTTTGTTTACAATTGAGTGAATAGCTACCCGCGAAGGAGACTGTTCAGTGCTACATCGTCAACGAATACGAAGGAAACGCAACGACATGACCTGCCTGATCCGCGAGAAATCTACGTTAATCCAGCTTGATTGGGTTCGCGCCCAGGCAAGGATTTTGTGGGAAATCGCAGCCTCGAGCGAGGCGCGAAATTGGCATCGGAGCGATGGCAATTAAGACCGAAACGGCGGGCACTGGGGGAATACGAAGTGATTCATTCAAAAGGAACTCTTGGATATTCGCGATCTTCCTTGAGTTCCGCTTCGGGATCCTGTTGCAACCTCGAGAGCATTATCTGTTTCGAACGCGTCGCAGCTGTCCCTTATTTTTCTACAAATGCATTGAGGCAGATGCCGAGATAGGATTCACGTCTCTGTTGGGGAGCGCGGAAATCCGAGTCGCAGTGTTTCAATCACATGAATAAGACGTATCATAATCTCTTGTTTGAATCATGCTCCCCGATGGCTTTTTAGGTTTGTCCATCAATCACAGCCGCGCGGCGGATGCCCCTGATTCCGTTAACTCAAGCTTATGGGCAGATATTTTACATCATGTGCCCCTTACCCCCCCCCCCCCTTCGGCCCCCTTATCACTACCCGTTTGAATTGCGACGTACTTGACCACTCACATATTTAGTTTTCTAAATAACGCTTTGGAAGTGTGAATTACGAAGTTTAGCTTTTAAATTTTTTGAAAACAAGCCTATATTTCAATTGACCCGAGAAAATTAGAGAGGTCCAATTCATAAATAATTTTCGCTTAAATGCCTGATATCATTATTCGAAATTGTCTGGTATATGTTGCCAGATTCATCAACCTGGCCAAAGCCAATTTAAGGTGATGGTTTAATGATAAGAAAAAGTTTGATTTCCGAATGTTTGAACATTTTCCATGGGCTTAAAGAATTCCCAGGACAATCCTATAAAGTTCAAGACTAAACTTTACATAATAACGACACTAAGTGAAATTTGATTGACTGAGTATTTGAATGGTCCAAGTTAAATTTTGATATTATGCGGCGTAGAAGAGAAATAACGAATGCCAATTAAAATATCTTTTACCCAATTTTAAGCTTCAGAAAAATCGGTTCTTTCGGCATTCAGTGGAACTTCGAAGTGTGTGATGTCGGGAAAATTATTATCCCATCTTGTTTGTCACACAGCTGATGAGGCATTTATTTTTGACAGACTAATTTTTCCTGTTGTTCAGATTTTCAACGATTGATCTCGTCCAACGTTCCAAATTTAATTGGGAAATGCTTTAGTTTGACGCCCGAAATTTACAATGGGATTCTTTTTCTTTTTGAAGAGAAAACGCGATGACTATCTCGTTCTGGAAAATTTCGGGTCGGGGAAATTCTTACCGGGGATCACAAGAGTTTCTTCTACGTGGGCAATTTCATGAAGTGAATCATGGGATTTAAAACTGCTCCTCACCTGAACACGAGCCTCGCTTAGATCAAGCCTCAAAGCGAGTTCCTCCCTGGTGAATACGTCGGGGTATTGAGTTTTCTCGAAGGCTCTTTCGAGTTGATGTAACTGGAAGGTGGTGAACGTGGTGCGACTTCGTCTAACTTTTCTGGGCTTCTCTTCTCCGTCGCCGTCTTGAATATCACTGCCGGAACCTTTCACGTCAAAGGATGAATCCAGTCTAGACTTCTTCCCTGGCGAAGGTCCGTCCCCGACGTCGCCGTCGTTGCTGTTGTCGCTGTGACTGCTGAAACTGCGGTCAGGCCCGTCGGGATCGCAGGAATTCAACGTTGAATCCGGACTGGAGACCTGCAGCTCATTTCCAGCTGCCAATCTCTTGTAGATTTCTTTCACTGCATTATTGAAGAGAGGAAAAAAACGAAAGACGTCCGTCTTGATCAGTCGATAACTAATAATCATCTCCATCTTTTTCTCTACAGAATTTTCCAAGAACCATGAAATCGTCCGCGTGATCTATGAAACCTGCTTTTTTTTAGAAGGAAAAAACCTGAAGCTTCTTCTCTTCTTGTGAAGTTAAACTGAGAGCTGCATCCAAATGCGTTTTAGACGATTTACGACTACTGGTACAATATATCCTCTCATTCACCAGCATTTCTTAATAACTTACGTAGCTAGAAGCTACACAACAATTACGACGAGACCCCGTGTTTTCTTTGATCCCTTCAATCTTCCAGTGAAATCAAACAAAGCTCGTCACCACTCAGTTCAATGCGAAGGTTGGACAAGAATCTTAAATCGAAGATAATCAAACAGTTAGAAAATGTATGAAATTCGAATGAAAATCCGACTGCCTAGATCTTTGAATCTCTGAATATTGTACTGTGAAAACTATAATAAATGTGCGTCACGTAAATACCAGTGTCCCGAGATTAGTTCAGAGATAAATAATTTTATGATTAAAAGCTACTGCGTTGAGTATTAGAAGAGGGATGAGCAACATACAACACTAATTTCTTCTCCGAAGCAGATACAGCAACACGTTGATAATTTAATTTAATTTAAGCAAATGCCTTCGACGGATAAAAAAAATGCAAATCGTATCACGTTTAATGCTGCAATGATTCTTTTAGATGAGCTTAGTATCCAACAAGCCATTCAAGTGCCCTAAATTTTTGGAATCGCGGTGATGAGTGCTTTTTCAAATGAGATATATTTTTATGCGAGAAAGTTTCCTCATGTTGTCCACGAAAACGTACGTTAATTGAATTAATCGAGACCCTCTGTCTGTCTTTTTGATGAAAGGTTTTGATAAAATATTTTTTGGATAAGAGAGTTGCTCTCATTCAATGCTCCGACTTCAGATTGACCACGTCAACCAATTTTAAGGAGGATCCAGTTATTCTTGGATACCCCACACGCAATTTGCGATCTTTTGCACAGACAAATGTTTGAGATATTGCTCAAAAATACACTCTCCAATCCACAAAAAAAAAAAGCACCTCGAGAGGAAGGATCGATAGAAAAGGCACTGACCTGGATTGTTGGTCGGTGGACCATGCGTCCTGGAAGACAGCAAATTCTCAATGCTGTAATAAGAGTTTTTGAGTGATGGTTGCCGAAGCGCGAGCGGGCTTTCGGCCACTTTGTCCATCATTTTCACAAAATGCGTCGTCTCACGCGTGCCACTCACTGATGTGAAGCCCTGGAAGCACTGCTCGGGGTTCTGCGGGGGGAGAGAATGCTTGGTTGAGACACCGCAGCGGGTTGTGATCAGTCGCGGGAAAGAAGGGCGTCACGTCGCGGAGATACGTCAATTGGCGCGATCGTAGCCGAAATGAGCGAGCTGGCATCGAGCCGCGGGTTTATAGCCGCTGCCTACAGTTCCCCCCGCGTCTACGACTCGGTCCGTAATCCGGTGTTAATTGAGTTCTGCGCGCGGAGAAATAAATGTACGCGCCTCCACGGGTATCATTGAGGCGGAAACCCCGCCCCGATACCCAACCAACAATGCCAGTGTCGCCAGTATGAGGAATTCGGCTCGAGGAAAATTCTCGGCTCGCCAGGAGGGAACTGTCGCGATGACGGAAAAAGTCTGTTTGCGGGCTATTAATCAAGTCCCTGCCCGCGGCTGAGAACGTCATTTGAGAGAACGTTTCAAGCATTGAAATGCGAACGCACGAGTATACATTCGCGGTTACTCGATATATCACTCTGCAACTTCCTTAAAATGGCGGGATGGGAAGCAAAAATAGTGCTCCCGCCCGTAATATGCGAGGGATATTTGATTTCTGCGTGGAGAACAACATACATCAGGATGAAAGTGAAGGTTTCTGTAAATCTTGAATGAGCAGATCAATCGGAATGATACTTGGATACTTATTCTCAGAAAAAGTTCTCTCATTCTTTCATAAAATCAAGAAAACCACTCAAAAATCAAATAATCTTCAGTTAATTTCCTAGCTATGCTTCAAATAAGTTTGATTAGATTTCCTGAGATGTCTGAAAGCTATTCTCTACAAAACACCCACATCTTCTTGAGTAATGCTCTAAAAACCATCATAAATTATAATTGAGCGTCTTTTCGAAAGTTTTATTTTGATGCGAAATAAATGGGCGAGAGTTACATAAATTCAACGTCCCACGTATTAACGAGCATGACCAATTGTTTCATAAATGCAATGGTGGATGATCTGGTGACGGGTTTCTACGATGAAATTTTATCTATACAGTATAGTCTTACGCAGCTCAAGAACTCATGTCTTAAAAGAGAGCGTTGGTATCTGCGTCACCTTAATGTAGTTATCGAACCCAAAACCATAGCATCATAAGCGCATTTAAGGTTTTAGGACCGTAAACTTTTGTATCATAGCATTAAACTTCCATTTTTAAGCATTGCGAATATCATTTATCAATGCGTGCGTAGAGATGCTGTATTTAACATTTTGGTTCCGTATTCTTTCTTTGTTACAAAGGGTCCGAATATTTGAGCAACACTGGGGAAATTGAATGGATTTGAATTAGCTTCAAGGACAGTATTACTGCATAATGAAATGCCTGAAAACATTTTCATAGTAAAGTGCCAGTTCAATGATGCGTCCATGTTTTATCTTCTAGACGTGGTCCTCGAAATTAAGTGAGGAAGTTCGCTTAGACCAGTGTTCCCCAACCTTTTTTGCTTGCGGACCGGAAAACGTTGACAAAATCTTTTGCGGACCGGAAAAGTTCCACACAATTTTTAAAGACCAGGAAATTTCTTAAAATACCTGCCATGAAGTCCTCAAAACAAAACTTGTATTGCAAGAATTAAGTGAAGAATCGAGAAGCAGCTATAGCTTGGAATGTCTTTAAAAAAAAAAACGAATGCTGAGCTTCAAGAAAGGCTTCTCAGATTTAAAACTGAAAATAATATATTTCAGGCAAGTGAAGACATGTCTGAACCATGAAGTGTAATAAGAAGAAAAGCGAACTTATATTTTTCTTACATAATTTCAACTGTCATTCTTTACATAATTTCGGATAATTAAGGATAACCGACTTCATTGCTGCATTTTATAAGTTTATCATGCCAAAAAAGTTTTTCCCGCGGACGACCGGCAAAAAACTTCTGCGGACCGGCGCCGGTCCGCGGACCACGGGTTGGGAAACACTGGCTTAGACGATTAAAAAGTGAATTCAGAGATTCATTGGGTTTTATATCGCTCTTCATCTCATTTGACCAAACGTTAAATGTTTCGCAGCCCAAAACCATGTTTGGTCAAAGTTTGAAAAAAAGTTCAAGAGGTTTTGTAGATGATTTTGAGGATTGAAGGCTTGCAATTCTGACCCTGTGTGCATAGGTGGACGAGATGAATGCTTGACAATGTATGTGCTTAAGATGAGGATAATGTCGCGAAACAATGATCCATCTTGATTGAGATTCGTTCGAAGAAATCGAACGACTGTGTACATGAGCGATCTTGCTTTCCGTTTTTTTTTTTTTTTTCAGNAATCAAGAAAACCACTCAAAAATCAAATAATCTTCAGTTAATTTCCTAGCTATGCTTCAAATAAGTTTGATTAGATTTCCTGAGATGTCTGAAAGCTATTCTCTACAAAACACCCACATCTTCATGAGCAATGCTCTAAAAACCATCATAAATTATAATTGAGCGTCTTTTCGAAAGTTTTATTTTGATACGAAATAAATTGGCGAGACTTAAATAAATTCAACGTCCCACGTATTAACGAGCATGACCAATTGTTTCATGAATGCAATGGTGGATGATCTGGTGACGGGTTTCTAAGATGAAATTTTATCTATACAGTATACAGAATGCGTCGAGTTCTTGAGTACAGAATTTTCTCTCGCAACCATAGACGCAGTGGAATTACATCAATAGCTTGGGTTTTGGTATCGTAGTATTCGCGTAAATTCCAAAATCCTGGCATTTGAAAACTATCATAGCATTAAACTTCCATTTTTAAGCATTGTGAATATCATTTATCAATGCGTGCGTAGAGATGCTGTATTTAACATTTTGGCTCCGTATTCTTTCTTTGTCACAAAGGGTCCGAATATTTGAGCAACACTGGGGGGAAATTGAATGGATTTGAATTAGCTTCAAGTACAGTATTACTGCGTAATGAAATGCCTGAAAACATTTTCATAGTAAAGTGCCAGTTCAATGATGCGTCCATTTTTTTATCTTCTAGACGTGGTCCTCGAAATTAAGTGAGGAAGTTCGCCTAGACCAGTGTTCCCCAACCTTTTTTGCTTGCGGAACGGAAAATTTTGACAAAATCTTTTGCAGACCGGGAAAGTTCCACACAAATTGTCAAGACCAGGAAATTTCTTAAAGTACCTGCCATGAAGTCCTCAAAACAAAACTTGTATGGCAAGAATTAAGTGAAGAACCGAGAAGCAGCTATACCTTGGAATGTCCTTGAAAAAAAAATAGAATGCCGAGCTTCAAGAAAGGCTTCTCAGATTTAAAACTGAAAATAATATATTTCAGGCAAGTGAAGACATGTCTGAACCATGAAGTGTAATGAGAAGAAAAGCGAACTTTTATTTTTCTTACGTAATTTCAACTGCCATTTTTTTTTTTTTTTTACAGAATTTCGGATAATTAAGGATAACCGACTTCATTGCTGCATTTTATAAGTTTATCATGCCAAAAGAGTTTTTCCCGTGGACGACCGGCAAAAAACTTCTGCGGACCGGCGCCGGTCCGCGGACCACGGGTTGGGGAACACTGGCTTAGACGATTAAAAAGTGAATTCAGATATTCATTGGATTTTATATCGCTCTTCATCTCATTTGACCAAACGTAAATGTTTCGCAGCCCAAAACCATGTTTGGTCAAAGTTTGAGAAAAAGGTTCAAGAGGTTTTGTAGACGATTTTGAGGATTGAAGGCTTGCAATTCTGACCCTGTGTGCATAGGTGGACGAGATGAATGCTTAACAATGTATGTGCTCAAGATGAGGATAATGTCGCGAAATAATGATCCGTCTCGATTGTGATTCGTCCGAAGAAATCGAACGACTGTGTACATGAGCGATCTTGCTTTCCGTTTTTTTTTTTTTTTTTTTAGAAGTAGAACAATCGTTATGGCGTCGGTGTTGTGTACAACATTTCGCACAGAGCGGAGAATCACCGACCACGATCGAGTTCCAGGACTCATTGAGAGCTGCAAAGAGCCGAATAACCCTCGCCCAGGTCAGATGGAAAGCCAACCCCGCCCAAACCCGAACGACTGTCAGGATTCGACGCCCAATGAACATACCTCGAGCCGCGGAGGATCCCTCCCGTGTGGAGGGGCGCCCGTTTCATTTCGAGCCGGGCGATGCTCTGCGTGAGTGCTCGTTGCTCGACGTGAAACAGCGAGACGCGGAGAGGGGGAACGTGCGTGAAATAAAGAATAAATCACATCCGATTCCCCGGTCGCCTAAGAGGGCACTTAGGATTGCTACTCAGCATATCAAACAGATCCCCCTGAGCGAATTGGATGAGTTTTTCGGCTCCGGGAATTCATCTCATGTTCAACTAAGCCTTTTTCATTTCCGCCCGCCCGGAGGAGCAGCGCTGTTTTGCTCCAGTATCACTTCTCCTGCCTGCAAGAATGTGTGTTCCACACCGCGATGGCCGCGACTCCATAAATCAATCCCGAGACGGCAGGTACTCGACTCGGAGACGCGAGCATTTTCCGCCGGACCCACGCGACACTCGGTATAAGGAAAAGAGTCACGGATGGAAGAAGTCCTCTCTAAAAAGTCACGAGAAGAGCATCAGCATATTTGATGGGGTGCTCCAACGACGAAATTGCGTTGATATCGTCAGCCTATTGCTGCGAGGCAAATGGGGGAATGAAAGAAACGCTCTTTTCAGTCGCAGCACTCGAAATTTCTTCCCGCCCTCTTGGCCCCCAGAAATTTAGGCTGCTTTCGGGCAATCTCGGCTCATTTCCGTTTTCATTTGCCCTCCAGGACGCTTCTCGGGCTTGGGATGAAATTTCATTTGAATCCCTCTTTCCTTTCATTCCCCTCTTCTTTTTTCCCTGATGCAGCCATTAGATGGCATTGACAGGTTTGTCGTCGGTCTCCGGCCCGGTGCGATGAAATCCGATTTCATTTCTTCATCCCATTTCCCGCAGGTTTTTTCCTTCTTCAAAATGTTTTCTCTCTTTTTATAAAATCTACGCGATCATGAGGCATTTGTGATAATTTTTATTGAAAAAACTAGAGAATGCTTCGGTTGGAGCAGAAAATGCGTCGAACGAGTGTCAAAGTGAAAATCGTTTTACGGATTTAATGATGAATTCGCTACTGTGTAACGTTTATGAGAATTCTCAAACAGCGCATATCGAAAATGGTTAACGAAGGCATCTAAGCTTCTATTCAGTTTAGTCGTTTTTACCCCTGAAAATATTTTGTTGTTGAAGAGGTATCTTTATTCCTAAAACCTTCATTAAAATATCTCGTAATGAGGTCGAATTTACAAGAGGAGGTGAGCTGGATGAAAGACGTATTTTCCAGACAGTCTGTCGTCCGAAAGATTAAGAGTTGGGATTTAACGATGACAATAATAGCTCTTCAGATGTCTTGCTGTTCAAATTTCACGCTCAATAACCCTGTCGACATTCGTCTCGATGAAGGCCGAACGAATATCATCGTGAGTCCTTCGTGGCACAAAGCAGTTTTATGAATGGAGATGATCCCTTGCCTTTTTGCGTCAAGCTCTGGTTCATTAGTAGCCTTTTGTGCTCCCTGCTTGGGTCGAGTATTTACCAAGGACGCTGCACCTTTTGAGGATGAGCGAATGAAGCCGCTGACGCCGAACTGTCTAGGATTTTCCTTCAACGACGAATGAACACTTCTCCTTGAACAATTCCAGCCTTGCTTGCATTTTAAGCTGATTCACGAGCGTCGTTTGCTTTATTAACAATGCTTCACATGCCAAGCGTTTTATTACGTTAAGGGCAATCAAGCGGAAGCCATCTTATATCAAAGACCACTTCTACCTCGGCACAGAGACAAACGAGGAATCAGGAAAAACGCATTTTGGGGGATGAAGTCTTGGCACAGTTGCAGAAGCTAAATCTATTTATAGCCGCGGTAAAATGGCGGGGCGGGTTCCCTCCACGGCTCGAGATTGAATTTTGGTATGATGTTTGAGTTGCAGGGCACCTTCGGGTTCCTAAATAAACGGAAAAGCAAAATGATACAATCAATCACTCGACTTATCTTTGTCTAAACTGCTTGGACAAAATAATCCGCTACTTACTTGCCGTAGTCCGCCAAAAGGAATGCGTATTTGGGTATGGTCACTGCATAATCCATATGATCGCACAAAAGCCTGGCTATTGTTATCTGCTTGATGGCTCTCAATTGATCTAAAGCAAGCGGGAACAAACAGATAATTGAGTCATTAGTCCGAGATAAACACCCTTTGTCAGTTCGGCAAGCTAACCCGGTGTGAAGGATGACGGCAGGTAAGCATTTTCATACCAATACCAGTCACCCCGCTTGATGTTTGAGAACTGCTCGCTGATCAGACAAGCGAACGTTGGGCCTATCAAGCCTCCATGGGGTTTATATTCCGAAATGCCTCCGGTGAAAAGGTCGATGTCTTCAACGTGTCTGTTGAGAAAAAAAAGCAGCACGTGATTCCGTGAAGTTGACCCACTGCGATGGCGTGTGGAGAGGGATTGAAATCGCCCTTACTCGTAAACTTGACGCAGACGGTTCACAGTATCGTTGGGCATCACATAGTACATATCTTTCCAAGAGTAAATATTGGGTTTGATGTTGCAAAAGTTCCAGAACGTGAGCCAACCTGGGATAGCCTGCTCTCGACCACGCTGAATGTTCGTGGCTACCAAATCATCGCCGTATTTGGCATAAGGCGCGGCGAACAACCAGTTTCTCAACTAAAGCCCAATCGCGACATTTCAATTTTATCGCCAAGACACAGCTCGCGGGAATAAGCTTGAATTACGGCGATAAATACCTCGTCATTGACAACGCTGTCGACATATTCTGATGGCTGATTGAGACCCCCGAGAATGACATGATCGAGCACTCCGGGCGAGGAGTAGTACTTTGTGCGGAAGAAAACATCGCGCAGAGGCCACCAGCCTGAAGAAAAGCTTCTAATTATGAATTATCCGGGAATCGGCGGTAGTGCTATCTCTGATCGCTCACCGATTGGCTTGTGCGACGCCGAGTAAAGGTCAACTTTCCACGGAACGATGGTGTGTCCGTATCGGAAGGCAGCGCTTGAGAAGTAGACGGAGATTTGTGGGTCCCACGTCGGATCCCAACCCCATTTTGTGTATAACTGGAAAAATCAGAACATGCTTCGATAAAAAAAATGTTTAAGATAATTGCGAGAGGTAGTGGATGTTTGATTACAGTTCTCTTTGAAAATGCAATAGCGTCGTGAACAAGTTCGGTCAGTTCGAGGCTAGCTGTTCGTCTCCGCCTCTCTATATGATCTGGCCCAACTCAAAATACCGGTAAATTTGACGCACGGCACAGTAAAACTTCAATTTTCTGGGCTTTGGTCAATCATGCACTGTGCCAAAACTTTGATACATTAAGAGAGCTCACCTGTCTTCTCAATTATAACTCGAACAACCTTATTTCTTTTTAATTGACTCTCTTGGTTGAAACTCTTCGAGACTTGTGAATTTATTATTTCAGGTCATTTTTGAACAGGTTTGTGCATCAGTTCGATAATTTTTTAAAGCATATTTTCTTTGACTTTTCATTTTTCCAGACCAGGCTCGTTATCATAAACTCTTTTATTTGAATATTGTTTTTTATTTCTTGATTAATTTTTGGTGGAACACAAGAGGCATAACGTATATACATTATTTTAAAAAATAAGAAAAAATGTTCTCGCCAGATACTAATTGCTCGTCGATGGCTTTACTTTTGCTTTTAAAATATCACAACCCCTGAGAACTTTAGGCATTAAAAATATGCGCCTTCCGGCAATTAGCTGATAATGTACGACCTCGACAAGCCTAAATCCGCCTTCTCGCGATGAGATCCTGTCAGGTGATAGAGGCGATATTTACCGGAGAAACCCATAGGTCCCAAGTATCCATCTCGTATTGATTGAGCAGATTGGGCAAGTACTCATTGTAAGTGATATGTTGTTGGAAAGCTGCGATGATTCGTCTGGCTTCTTGAAACAGCCGCTCGTCTCCCCAATGAGGATTGATACGATACAGATGATCCGCTAACCAGTTGTGGGCACGAACCATAATGGTGTGCATGGCAACCAGACCTGGTTGTGTCTGAACCCTCTTATCTCCTGTTAGGTTATTCCGGAGTAAGCAGCAGCAATTTCACGTAATGTTTGATGCAAAGACGCGTATTTTTCTTATAACAAACCTGCCAAAAAGCAGTACTGATTCTTTCCATCGCGCCAGCATTGATCGTCCGGATTTTCCAACTGGTACGGCAGCATTGGTTTCAAATACTGCCCACTGAATATATGAAATAAGTAAGCTCAAACACCAAAGCGTTCATGCTGCATCCCTCATTATTGTTAAGCATGTGCTTTTTTCGTCGAACATCGATACGAGGGATATGGCAATGATTTTGTATACCCTTATTATAGGGAGTTTTGAAAGCCCGATTTATTTTCCCTGGCCTTTCGAAAAAATATAATTCTTTCTATTCTCCAATATGTAGTCGATAGATATTTCTAGGGATACGTAATTTATTCTTCCAACTCTCCCGAGAAGCTTTTAAAATGACGTTTGAAATTTAAATACATTATTTTCAATCTAACTTAAGTGAAACGCTCAAACTCGAATGTTGACAGAAATACTTCTCATCGAATTGATAAATGTATGCTTATATATATATTTCTTTTGTCTATATTTCTTCCGACACCGCCGCTTAAATGCTATTGCATAAAATAAAGTTACAGAACAGAACAACAATCAAGATACATTTCAAAGTTTAATTATTTTAACATAAGACCGGCCACTCGCAAGCTACATCGTATGTCTGACTATACAACGCGAGATTCCCTAATGCCAGACGTTTGTTTCTTGCACACGGAGCGAAATGAAAATTATGCCCTGTAACTCACAGCTGTAGGTTTGTCGAAGATTGTTGAAGGTGATGAAATTCATCTCATGAAATTTTTACGCAGAAATTTCGGCGAAAATCTCTCATTCCTCGAAGAACTCGAGTATTGGAACAGCGAGAGGTAAATATTGGTTTAGTGCCGTATGAAGCGAACTAATATGCTCATGAAATCATTCATAATAAGAAGAATGCTCGATGAAAATAGCATCAATGCTTTCAACCGTTGGCGCATGATTTTCATGAATTTCATTTTTCACGATGAACCTTACTTTGGAGAGTGCGGATATGACACCTTCATGCGACCATGCTTATACTCTCGGAGTTGTTTGACGCGATAATTGTCCCACCCATAAATTGCACTGCCGTCGATTGTAGGTGTGTTTCCGTTCAAGACAGTTCGATGACCCAACGGGCAACCGTACAGGACGGCTGGGCGAGAACGCA